GGGCCTTCCCGCTTTCCACTCAGGGACATTGGCAGTGAAGCAACCTTGGTGTGTTTTGCTTTTGAAGTTCAAAGCCTGAGCCCTTTGAAATGGCAATGCTGCCCACCCAGTGCTCTTCCTCTGGGTGACTGCGTGTCTTCCATTGCTCTAGTTCACTCACCAACTCCTGACAGGGGGGTGGGGTGCTCAGGAAACGGCGTCTTATAATTTCACACCTGCGCCAGCTGTACAAGACTCTCCTGATCCAGATCAAGTCTCACTCAGTCTCCCAAGAGGGAGCGAAGTTTCTTTTTCAGTCTCCTGATCTCCCAAGTCAGGTACACAGCGGCCCTTGTGCGCCGCACAGTCTCAGGTCTGCCACCGGGAGCTACTTCTTCTATTGCAGTGAGTTCTATTTTCTCTACTGTCAGCCCCCTCCTAGTTCTCATGTGCCCTGCTCTCGCTTTGGATTCTCTCTGGGCTGTTGTTTTCCAAACTCTAGGCACTTTGTTCTGGAGAACCCGCGTGGCTGATGCTAAGCACTCCTCCGTTTTCCTCTCTTGCCCTTTGGTCGAGCAAACCTTGCCTACTTGCTGACTCCAAAGTGACAGTGATTCTCACCTCCAAATTTTGTTCATGATTTTATTCCTGCTACTCCAGGTCAGGTGCTAAACTAGAAAGAGCATAAATGAAGTTAATTCTAACCCCCCAGTTATCTACTTATTCATTATGTGATATGCTCATTAGCCACGTGTTCTTGGGTAGGTCTTTCAACTTTCCTCAACATTGATTTTCTTATCAATAAACTGAGAACATTAGTACTTATCTCTATTTTGATATTTTAGTTCTCCATTTTCAGTGTTGAGATGTTTATGTGCTTGACACATCATGCATGATAAATATTATTTCCTTTTTTATTTGGTTTCTTGAGACAGGGTCTCACTATGTAGTCCAGGCTTCTCTCAAACTTGCTGCAATCCTCCTGCCTCAACCTCTCAAGTGCTTGAATTAAAGAAGCATGCCGCAATGTCCAGAATATTTCCTCTATGATGTTTAACCCCTCAATTCTATCTTGAACTTTTCTAAAGGCTATCTTTCCTTCAGAGTCCGTTTCTACTTCCACATCTTGAAACCACATTCAACAATCCCTCCCCATTCAATTGGCCCTTGATATCAGACTGCCTTGTGTTGCTATTTAACTTTTTATTAGAATTTCTTGTCTCCTCAGTGGTCTTGTAAATTCCACAAGGGGAACATTATTTTTGCACATATTATACATCAACCACATTGAAGTTTTCTGCACTATATTTTAGATTTGAAGATTGAAGATTTTAGTACTATATTTCTTTAACCTAAAAAATTCAGTGACAGGGCAAGCCACACAGTTGCACAATCTGTGCAGTCACACATCTCCCATGTTCACAAGGGCCCCAAGCTTGGTTTAGTGCTTGGATTTTGTCTTGGAATTCTTAATTATTTATGAATAAAAGCCTCATATTTGATTTTATTCTGGGTCTGCAATTATATAACCACTTCTTCCTGGCAGTCTTCCCGACTTGAGGGGGCAGATCAGAGTGAAGTGGATAGAATGGCATGCCACAAGTGAGAAAGCTAGTGGGAGAGCTCCTTTAAATCTTCAGCCAAGTGCTTATATGTGCATATGCTCAAAGGCTCCACCCACAGCTAGGAAAAAGCCCCTGAAAAGGAAAAGGCAGAATAATTACCAGAATCACTATGCTAATGTCCAAATTGACTTTAATGCAAAGACAGTAGAGATAAAGGAGATCTTTTCATAATGATAGAAGACACAATTCAACCAAAGGACATAACAAACCTAAATATCTTTATTGTCCTAATAACAGATCCTCAAAATGTATGAAAAAAAATTGGAGAAAGGGGAAAGAATATAGAAAAATCCACAATTATGGTCAGAAATTGCAATATACTCTCTCAAAACTAGTAGATATAACATCAGTAAGAATGTGGAATTGAGTGGGACTGTCAACCATTAAGCTAAATAAAATTTATAAAATGTTCTACCTAACAACAGCAGAATATATATTTTTTCAAGTGCACAGAAACATATAGCAAGATTGTGGGCCCATTTTATAATGTAGACTTTATTGTTATTCAGTTATGGGAAGTTCAACAAATCATGAGGCAATTACCATTGAAAAGAAAATTTATAAGAGATTCAAAGACGTGTGGGCATGACATGTCCCACAAAGTAATATAGGGAAGTACCAGGGTTGGTCAGGACAGAGGGGGGGGGGGGGGGGGGGAGAGAGAGAGAGAGAGAGAGAGAGAGAGAGAGAGAGAGAGAGAGAGAGAGAGAGAATAAAGTGCCTGCTTAGGCAAATGCAGTGGTCGGAGGTTCGGTCCCTGGTCTGCAGTGCTGGCCCTGCCCCCAGGTCACACTGAGACAGCAACTGAGACTGGGTGTGGTGGCACACACCTGTAATCACAGTGCTTGGGAAGCAGAAAACAGAATCACTACAAGTCCAATCTGTGTAGTGAGACCCTGCAAACCCTATAACACCCTGCACCAAATACAAAAAAATGAAAGATAAGAAAAAGAACTAGCTAGTTTGAAATATTTTAGTGAGCCTTCAGTTATATTATGTCTTGTATCTAGATGTTCCTCCCAAAGCCTCATGCACTCATAAGTGGTACGTTTTAGAGGTGGATCAATCTAGAGTGTGTGATACTGGAATTAAGGGTGTATAGTACTGGATTAGTCCACTAATTAGTTTTTTTTTTTTTTTTTTTTTGCGGAACCAGGGATTGAATTCAGGCCCTTGCGTTTGCAAAGCAAGCACTTATTTTACTGAGCTATATCCCTGGCCACCCCACTAATTAGTTTATTATAGTTCTGGGTGTGGATTATGGGAAGGCCTATCCTGAGTATAAGTGACATCTCCCAAAAGGCTTGTAGTTTGGAAAACAAAGAGAGGCTTGCTGCTGCTGCTGCTGTACCTGCTCACTGCTTGCTGCTTCCTGTCTGCCCTGTCATGGACTGCTTCCCCTCTGCCATTCCACCTGGCCATGGAACCAAGAAACTATGGACTGAAACCTCTACAAACTGTGAGCTGAAATGAGCCTTTCCTCTTTTAAGTAGTACTTGTCAAGTATTTTGTCTCAGCAAAGAGAAAAGTAACTAAGACAAGGCATAAGGGATATTCCCAGCTGTATAGTACCTGGGTCAGTGATTAGGGCAGGTTCTTTATTGAGTTGGAGCTCAATAAAGAAGGTGATTGGAAATCTTGGGATTTAGTTTGGTCAATTCGCATATGAAAGGCATAGTTACCAAGTTATTTGTTTATTATCTGTAGGAATTACCTAGTCCTTTGAGGGGGAAATTCCTGTAGGCTCAGAAAGGACCTAAAATTTCAAAGCATCAGTACATAGTAAAAATGCAAGATTAAGACAGGCCACATAACAAGTCTCAATGCACTTGATAGGATTACTATCATTGAAAATATGTTCTCCAACAATAAATAATTAAATTATAGAGCCAGCAAGATGGCTCAGCAGACTAAGGGCCTACTTAGGCAAGTGCAGGGACCAAGGTTCGATCCCCCATACCACATGCCATGCCAGCCCTGCCCCAAAAGTGCCCTGAGCCTACAATGGAATCTGGTCATAATGGCACACATCAGTAGTCCCAGCTGCTGGGGAGGCTGAAAACAAGAGGATCACTATGACTCTGAATTGCATAGTGAGATCCTGTACAAAAAAATAATAATAATAATGAATAATAGAAATCAATAATTCATCTAGAAAATCCCCAAATATTCAGAAATTAAAAAATATGTTTCTGTATAACACCTGGAAAAAAGCTAAGGAAGTTAAAAAGTATTATAAATAATGCTAATGAAAACATAGCATATTAATGTTTTGGCATGCAGGCAAAGCAGTTCTTTAGAGAAAAGTATAGCTCTGAATACTCATATAAGAAAGATGTTCCCATAAATGGAAAAACAAGAAACTAAAATAAACAGCAAAGAAGCAATAAATAGAAAAACATAAAGAGAAAAATAAATGCAACTAAAAAACTGTATTTTGGGAAATATCAATAAAATTGGTGGGGAGGAATATAAGAAAGAGAAAAACACAAACACAAACTACCAGGACAAAAAATAATAGAAGGAAAACCACTATAGAAATAAATGACATTGGGCACCATTTAAGAAGTTTGGCACATGTTGGGCAAGCTGTGGAACTCTGGAAAGCTCTGACCTTCCTTTGCCCCCAGTGCATAGGCATGGACCTTCTGCTGGTGCCAGTCCAAACTATTAAGAACTTAGGAGGCCTCTGAGTGGCCTGCAGGACGCAGGAAAGATGCAACCTGTGGGCCCAGCATAAGCAGGCATGGAGCTTTCCTGGATCCATTTAAGAACTTTGACAGACTCCGGGCAGCCTGTAGGACTCTGGCTAGTGAGTACTTGGAGCTTCAAAAATGTCAAAACACAGGAGCAAAAGGCAATCTCAACCTCTATCCCACCCAGAACAAATCCAGGAGATGAAGACATACAAGAACTTGGAAATCACACAACTGAAATCTCTGAAATAATAGCAACTGAAGTAAAGAAACAAGTCCATCAGGAGTTCTTCTTTCTATAGAAGAAGCAAGTGCAAAAATAATTGCTCAGGTCCAGAAAGAAATGACAGCAATCGTGAAAGAATTGCTCAGCACAGTCAAAGAAGACATAGATTAAAAAAAATAGAGAAGAAAAGAACAATCATGAAAACATTGAATGAACAGTACAGGAAAGAATTAGAATGCATGAAACAGATTCAAACACATATCCAAGAAATTAAGAACTCTATTAAAATCTGGCAAAACTGCTTGAAGGAAACTAAAGATAGTCTTTCAGACCTGAAAGACAGCGGTACAGCTAATGAACATGAAAGGAAAGATCTCTTAAAACTAACAAGGAATCAGAAAATATCAATTCAGCTGCTGCAAGACAGTACAAAAAAATATAAGAATAATAGATATCAATGAAGCAGCAGGAGACAGCACAACTGACATAAAAAGACTATTTGCAGAAGTAATAGCAGAAAATTTTCTAAGCATGAGAAAAGAAACTGACATACAGATAAGTGAGGCATATAAAAATCTACACAGCCATAATTACAGTAAATCTACACCTAGGCACATCATAATCAAGATATCAGAAATTCAACAAAAGAATAGAATATTAAAACCTGCTAGAGAGAAAAAACAGACCAACTACAGTGGAAAGTCCATTAGTATCACAGTAGATTTCTCAACACAAGCTATCAAATGAAGAAGAGCTTGGAGTGTGATATTTCAGCTCCTGAAAGAAAATAACTTCCAACCCAGATTGATGGTACCCTTCAAAACTATCTATTAAAGGGCTGAGGAGATAACTCAGTAAAATAAGCACTTCCCTGGAAAGTGCAAGGGCCTGAGTTCAATCCCTGGTTCTGCCCCCTCCTCAAAAAAACTACCAAATTCAACGATGAAATAAGATCCTTCCATGACAAAGAACAACTGAAGAAATTGATAACCACCAAACTAACCCTAAAAACAAGTACTGACAGATATTCTAGAAAGATACAGAAGTGATCACAGTTTTAAGAACACTAGACAGGAACAACCAGACAGAGGAAGTAACTAAAAAGAGAGAAAAAGTACAGAACCTATAGCAGGGAAATAACATGACAAAGATAAGCCAATATGTATCAGTTATAATCATCAATGTAAATGGCCTCAATTCAACAATCAAAAGAAACACATTAGCAGAGAGGATTAAGAAATAAAATATATTTCTTATATAGAAATACATTTAACTCAAAAAGAAATTCACAGACTAAAGTCAAAGGATGAAAAACAGTCCTCTACAGGAAATCAGAAAAAAGCAGAAGTAGCTATCCTTATTGCAAATAGTATCAAGTTCAAACCAAAAATCATTCAAAGAGATAAAGAAGGTCGCTACATACTTGATAAGGGAAAACTGCAAATGAAAGACATAAAAATTATAAATATATATACACCCAATTTAGGAACACCCACCTACATAAGACAAATTTTGGCAGACATGAAAAATCAAATGAGCAGTAATACAATTACACTAGGGGACTTTAATACACCACTGTCACAAAGAGATATATCAACTAGGCAAAAAAAAGTCAGTGAAGAAATAACAGAACTAAACCAAACATGAAAAAAGGGACTTGGTAAACCTTTACAGATTATTTCACTCAACAACCATAGAATACACATTCATCTCAGCTGCACATGGGACATTCTCCAAAACAGACTATGTGCTAGTCCACAGAGTACTCTTAATTAAATGCAAAGGAATCGACATTATCCCATGCATACTTTCTGACCACAGTGCAATAACACTGGAAATTATGGAAAAAAGAAACTAAAAAAACACCATAAAGATATGGAAATTAAATAATAGTAACCTAAACAACCAGTTGGTCACAGATGAAATTAAAGAAGAAATAAAAAATATTTACAATCAAATGAAAATGCAGATACAACCTACTGAAACCTCTGGGATGCAATGAAAACTGTCTTAAGAGGAAAATTTATATTGGTAAATTTGCACATTAGGAAAACAGAATAAGCCCAAATAAATGATCTTATGCTGCACCTCAAACTCCTAGAAAAAGAAGATCAAGGCAAACCCAAAGCCTAAAGAAGGCAGAAAACAATAAAGATTAGAGCAGAAATTAATACATTGTGGATGAAAGAAACAATAGAAAGAATAAAGGAATCAAAGAATTGGTTCTTTGAAAGAATAAAAGTGATAAGCCCCTAACCATCCTAATCAAAAAAAGGAAAGAAAAACCCAAATTCATGCAGCAAACAATGAAAAGGGTGAAATCACTACAGACCCTAGAGAAATTCAGCAGATCATTGATATCTAGCTCTAAAATCTTTACTCTCACAGGATGAAAAACACACAGAAAATGGACAGTTTCTTAGATGCATATGAAAGGCCAAAGCCAAGTCAATGAGATATACAAACTCTGAATAGCCTAATAATGAGAAACAAAATTTAAAATGTAATTTAAAAAAATACTAACAAAAAAAGCCCAAGTCCTAATGGATTCACAGCAGAGTTCTACAAGAAATTCAAAGAAGATTTAATATCAACTTTTCTCAAACTCTTCAATGAAATTGAAAGAGAAGAGATTCTCCTGAGCTCATTCCTGGAGGCAAGTATTTCTTGGATTCCAAAACCAGAGAAACATCAAACTAAAAAGAGAGAACTACAAGCCAATCTCTCTAATGAATATAGAAGAAAAAATCCTCAATAAAATACTAGTCAACAGAATGCAGCAAATCGACAAGAAGATAACACATCATGACCACGTGCGATTCATTCCAGGAATGCAGGGATGGTTCAACATATGCAAATCCACAAATGTAATACATCACTTCAAGAGAACTAAGATCATCTCAATAGATGCAGAAAAAGGTTTTGACAAAGTCCAACACTCGTTCATGATAAAAGCCTTACAGAGAATTGTAATAGGTGGTCTATATCTCAACCTGATAAAAGCCATCCATGAGAAACCAACAGCCAACATCATACTAAATGGACAAAAATTGAAGGCCTTTTTAAAATCAGGAACAAAACAAGGATGTCCACTGTCTCCACTCCTGTTCAACATAGTTATAGAAGTATTAGCCAGAGCAATTAGACAAGAGAGAAAAATAAAAGGAATAATGATTGGGAAAAAAGCAAAATTATCATTATTTGCACATGACATGATACTATACATAGAGAACCCCAAAAATTCAACCAAGAATCTCACAGATTCAATCACCAAATTCAGCAGCACAACAGGATACAAAGTCAACACCCAAAATTCAGTATCATTTTTGGACACAATGAATGCACTTAGACAGAATTTAGGGAAATCATGACTTTCACAATAATATCTGAAAAATGTAATACTTAGGAATAAATCTTGCAAAGGACATAAAAGATTTATCCAGTGAAAATTATGGTATTCTGAGAAAAGAGATTGAAAAGGATTTGAGAAAATGAAAAAAATATTCCATGCTCCTGGATAGGAAGAATCAACTTGTGAAAATGGCCATACTCCCAAAATTCCTATACAGATTCAATACAATCCCAATAAAAATACCACTAGTGTACCTTGCAGTGCTAGAGATTCAAATTCATTTGGAATCAGAAAAGACCAAGAATATCAAAAGCAATCCTGAGAAACAAAGGAAAGGCAGGAGGTATCACAATCCCTGATCTGAAATTATAATATAAAGATACTGTGATAAAATCAGCATGCTACTAGCATAGAGACAGACCTAAGGATCAATGCAACAGATTAGAAGATTCAGACACAACTGAAAACACATTCAAGCACCTTATCTTTGATAAAGGGGTCAAACATGTTCACTGGAATAAAGATAGTCCCTTTAATAAATGGTGCTAGAAAAACTGCTTTCCATATACCAAAGGCTAAAACTAGACCCATGCCTTTCACAATGCACAAAGCTACAGTCAAAATGGATCAAAGATTTAAATATTGAAATAGAAACACTAAATCTTCTGGAGGAAAATGTAGGTAGAAATTTTAAAGACATAGGGCTATGGAGAGAGTTTCTGAACAAAAACCAAACTGCACTGGAAATACTTCAAAGAATCAATAACTGATACCTCATCTTTTTGAAAAGTTTCTGCACTTCAAAGAAAATTTCCTACACAATAAAAAGAAAACCCACAAACTGGGAAAAAATATAACTGACTATCCCTCTGACAAAGGCCTTCTATTTAGAACATACAAAATTTTTTTAAAAATCAGGCTCCCAAATTCAAAGACCCAATCCAAAAATTGGCACGTGAGGTGAATATTCACTTTTCAGAGGAAGAAATACAAATGACAAGTAAATATATGATAAAATGCTCAACATCATTGGTCATTGAATAAATGCAAATTAAAACAACACGGGATTCCATCTCAACCCAGAAAGAATGACTATCATCAAGAAGTCAGGCAATATCAAATGCTGGAGAGGCTGTGGGGAAAAAGGCACATTTTTCCACTTTTGGTGGCACTGCCGACTTGTACAACTACTATGGAAATCAGCATGGAGATTCCTTTAAAAAATAGAATTGGAGATCTCATTCAAGCCAGCTATTCACCTTCTGGATTTTTTTTCCAGAAGAACTGAACACCTCATAATACAGTGATATATTTGCATTCATGTGCACAGCACCACAATTTGTCATAGCTAAATCCTGGAAACAATCCAGACTCCCATCAACTGAAGAATGGATAAAGAAGATATGGTATTTTTACACAATGGAGTATTATTCAGCTATAAAAGAGGATAAACTTGAGTCTTTTGTCAGTAAATGGATGCAACTAGAGAACATATTCTTAAGTGAAATAAATCAGACTAGCTTGTGCAAACATCATATTGTCTCCCTAATGTGAGAACCTGAAAGAGAAAAATAGAATCTGAATTGTACAATAAATACTGGGAAAAGCTAATGAATTTTTTGAAAGGGAAAGAGTTATTGAGTTGAGAAGGACAGGAGAGGGTGTGGAAGGAAGAGATTTACCTATGTATGTAAACAGGACAGTTTTGACAACTGTACTGTGAATTTCTGCTGGTCTATTGAAAGGAAAAGTTAATATTTAATTTGTTTTGACTCCTTTTTTCAGTTGTTTGTAGTTTTTCTGTTCTTAATTTCTTATACATTTATTTCTTTATTTCTTTATTTTTGCAACATTACATGCATATATCTGGTTATGAATAAATTATTGGAAGACAACATTATGTATTACAACAAATGCTATGAAATTCATATTACTTTAAGTGAAATTCTGTATCACTTGCAATTTTTTCTGTTTTAATTCTAATTTGTACTCTATAAACCATAAACAATGGACATTCCACACTTAATAAGGGAATATTAAATGTCACTTTATGCTAATGTATTAGGCAACTAAAGTGAAATAGGAAATTTCCTTCGAAGACCATGCAAGGCAAAATTATGCAGAATGAGTTTCCTTAAGCCCATTAAAGACTTTAAATTTGTAGTTTAATGACTGCCCACAAAGAAACTGCACGTCCAGATGACATCAATGTGTAGTTAAGCACAAAAAATGGCAAGATCAAGACAAAGATAATCACTACTATTTAACACTGTTTTTGAGGTACAACTAAGCATAATCAGAAAGCAAAAAAATAGAGTATGAAATTGGAAAGAAAGAGATAAACAATCAAAAGAATAAATTGAAAAGCTATTCCAACTACTAATAATTCCGTAAAGCAAAAGGGTAAACTTTTTTTAGTACAGGGTCCACAGGGTCTCACTATGTAGATCAGACTCATAGTGAACCGCCTGGGTTCAGCCTCCCAAGAGCTGGCATTACAGGCACGACCACCACTCCCAGTCTCAATCTCTGTCTCAGCATACCCTGCAGGCAGGTCTGGCACAGTACCCCACAGATCGAACTCTAGACGATGCGTCTGCCTAAGCAGGCACTTTAATCCTCTGAGCTATCTGGCCAGCCCAAAAAGGTAAACTTTTAATAAACAGAAATCTTATGTCCAAATAAATAGTAGTGAAATTGAATAACACTTTAAAACACAAACAAAAAATGCTCCATTATCTAAGGATGAAATTATCAATTAATACACAATAGCATTGTATGCAAAACTTTGAAGAACTAAAAAAAGCATTTATGCTCTTAGTAAGAGACACCATTATATAAGTAAATTATTTTGAAGTAAATTTATTTTTTATACTTTTTTTAAAAGTTTTTATTTATTTTAATGAGAAAAAAGATAAAATAGCGAAGCAATTTCAAAATGGGTTAGTAAGACAGTTACAATAATTAATACATTGCATATTATTGTCTTTGTAGTAGTTATTCAGAAGACAAGATGCAGACATAACATCTTGTCTAAACAATATCAGTACAGTTTTCCAATCCTCCTTTCCAAGATGACAAAAAAAGAAGGAAAAACAGTCGTGCCCAAAAAGGGCCGTGGTCATATGCAGCCTATTCACTGCACGAACTGCACCTGGTACATACCCAAGGATAAGGCCATTAAGAAGTTTGTTATTAATCAAGAGAGGGAAAGGAGATGAGCTAGGAAACATGACAAGGTTAAACCATGCAGTTATATGTAAAAGATGAGCAAGGCAATGATCCGGAGAATATTCAGAAGATTCTTTAATCTAGGAGTTAATTGGAATGATTCTCACCCTGGCTAACTATATATACTGATA